TATTTCTAATGCTAAAAAATATGAGGGGATTTAAATGTAATTATGATTTAAGATATAAACAGGATGTTTTATATATTGGTAAGTATTTTTGTTGTACTTTTATTATCCAAGTTTTTATGTACTATAGGTATTAGTTCTTGTTTACCACATTGTATTTTGAAACCATTATTTAAAAAGTTTCTTATTGTACATACTTGAATTTTGAATGCTCATAGAAATATATTTTTATTGAATTATTTCTTTTTTCTTCTTCTAAAAAACAAATGTCTTTAACATGATTTCCCTATCTAAAATATATCCTGCCACCTATTCAAAATGACAACACATCCAGAATTGTACAAATTCTATTTTAAGATCCTGGATTTAAGAGCTTAATATTTCTTATGAAAATAAAAATTTCTAGAATTACAAATAGATACCATATGATCATTAAAAGAACATAAGGCATATTCACTCAACTCTTAAATATCAAATTTCTTGGGTGAAATGCCTAAATACGCAGGTTATAAAATGGCCTTTGAAGACTGGGATGTTGACAGATTCCCTAAGAAGAATAAGGAGGCATTAAAGTACTATTTACTTTAGACTATAGCTGTCTATCAGCGAGAGCCTTTAATCATCAAAGACTTAATTGGGTTTAACACTCAACTTGCTGTGTACATGCAACCAATTTCTCCAACAACTGACCTTAGAAGTTCAGGTTGGAGGAAAGGTCTGAGATTTTCCACCTCATATTGTAATGTCAGAGCACAACTTCAGAGAAACCCTTTGTCCTGTGTTAGTATGTATCTTGGGTGCTTTCCAGGACAAAGGTTTCAGAAGGCCCTGATGAGATACGCCATGAGAGCCACCCGGAGTTTGTCAAGCTGTCGTAATGCACACAGGACTGCCCCCCCCCCAGGAAACCTTTGTGACCTGGCTTTTGAGAGGTTCATCCAAGACCATCTGCCATTTCACATGAGGCTTCCATTCTGTTTACTCTATGCTTTCCTTCTGCCCGGGAACAAAAGAGGAAGGAGAGAAGTGTTGTAGAGGCAGGAGTTCAAGTACATCAGCAGCGACGTACTCAGGACTAATTGGTGGATTCGATTCAGCAGTCTCTGGAGTGGACTGGGGTAGACGGGGGAGAAAGGGGCGCACTTTAAGTTGGAGAACAATGCAGCTCAGCTGGGGCACTGAGGTCTGAGTCAGCACAAAACAGGCCCAACAGGAGCGGCAGGCCTGTGTTAATGAGTAGTTAGACACCAGCAGGGTCCTCCGCTCAGCTGGCGTGCACCTGCACAGCCTTGCCACTTGTTAAAATATTGCAGTGCTCCCGAACTGCTTGTTAAATATTTTGAGCAAACACCCTTGACACCAGATAACAGAGTCCTGACAAGGAGGCGCAGGAGCTTTGACTGGAGTTGGCAGGAAAGCGGAGGTAGATGATGAAATCCCAAAGGCACTGAGGGGAAAGGGATGGAAACGGAGTTTCAGGAAGACCTTCTTGGGGTGTGGGGCGTTTGCCTTATCTCAGCAGGATGGGCAGAGGGAGGGAGTTTCGTAATCCTGTCCCTGGCTTGGGTGACAGGCTGTGTACGGCAACAGCACGTCATGAGAAGTGGCTGGCTTGTTGGTCATTTAAGGACAGCTGAGCTCTATTTACTTAAACAAATATAACCCGGCCTCGCCTACCTTTGGGTACCGAGGCTGAAATGACCAATGACTAAGGCTTCTGAGCTTTTTCTGACTAATACTTTCAGGTTCTTATCAACCCACTAGTTTCTTAGAAAGTGCTATTAAGCCTCGTGTCCCTTGCCACTAATGTCCTCCTCCAGGGCATGCACAGTAATGTGGCAGTGAGCATACAGACAAGGGCAGAAAAGTGTCCATTAGGTGTGGCTTCTGGTGAAAGTCACTGGCATCTGAGCAAGAGAAGGCTTAGTCTAGTGCAGGGGTCCTCAAACTACGGCCCGCGGGCCACATGCAAATACCAATATTGTATTTGTTCCCGTTTTGTTTTTTTACTTCAAAATAAGATCTGTGCAGTGTGCATAGGAATTTGTTCATAGCTTTTTTTTTAAACTATAGTCTGGCCCTCCAACGGTCTGAAGGACAGTGAACTGGCCCCCTGTTTAAAAAGTTTGAGGACCCCTGGTCTAGTGGGTAATGAGGATGGAGGTCATGTGCCCAGGAAAGAGGAACAATCATAAGATGAAATAGAATGAAGGAGTGTAGGCAACTCCTTCAAAAAGACTGCCTGGCCCAGCCGGCATGACTCGGCAGTTGAACATCGACCTATGAACCAGAAGGTCACGATTGGATTCTGGTCAGGACACATGCCCAGGTTTCGGGATCGATCCCCAGTGTGGGGTGTGCAGGAGGCAACCAATCAACGATTCTCTTTCATCATTGATGTTTCTGTCTCTCTCTCCCTTTCCCTTCCTCTCTGAAATCAATATATTTTAAAAAAAAATCCTGCCTGGAGTCTTTAGGGTTTTCTATGTACAATATCATGTCATCTGTAAATAATGGCAGTTTTACTTCCTCATTTCCAACCGGTGGGCACAGGGGTGGGTCTCAGGCAATCCTTTGTGCTCCTGCCCAGCTCCTCTGGTCTTGATCCCCAGTTCCCTCTCTGCCAGCAGCCCCACTCCCACCGCCACTGCTCCCATGCACTGACAGCACCAGCCCGCTTGTACCTGCTGATGGCGCGGAGAGATTGGGGCGAGCGCTGTCAGAGGGTGCAAGCGGCGGCTGCTGCCCCAGTCGCCCTCCAGGAGCAGGGGGACGTGGAGAAGCCCTCAGGGGCAATCGGGGCTGGCAGCCGCCACTTGCACATGCTGATGGCACCAAGCGATTGGGACCAGCGCCGGGCGCTGACAGTGGGTGCGAGCGATGGCTTTGTCACCAGCAGTGGATGGTAGCGGGGCCATCACCGGCAGCGGATCCGAGAGGTGGTTGCTGGCCCCAATTGCCCCTCAGAAGCAGGGGGAGATGGAGAAGCCACGAGGGGCAATCAGGGCTGGCTCCAGCGCCGGCAGTGGGTGGGAGTGGGGCCGGAGCCGGCAGCAGGTGCAAGCGCCCAGTGGGACCGCAGCGCATGGGAGCAAAGTTGTTGTTTTAAGTATATTTTTATTTATTTCAGAGAGGAAGTGAGAGGGAGAGAAGGAAACATCAATGATGAGAGAGCTAGGGTGGATGTTTTTTAAAGATGGGAAATATGATAGCGTGTTTTCATGATCATGAGAATGACGGGTAGAGGGATCGGATGACAGAGAAGACTGCCAGAGTGATGACCTTGAGTAGGCAAGAGAAGCCAGGATCTAGTGCAGAAGTGAAGGATAAAACAGGCTAGGTCTGCCCCAGATACAGGAGGAAAGGGAGCTGGTGGATGTGCAGTGTGTGTGTGTGGTCATTCTCTTCTGATTGTTTCTGGTTTTTCGATAAAACAAAAAGCAGCCCGAGGTGGTTTGGCTCGGTGAATAGAGCATCGGCCTGTGGACTAAAGGGTCCCAGGTTTGACTCCGACCAAGGGCACGTGCCCGGGTTGTGGGCTCGATCCCCAGTAGGGGGCATGCAGGAGGCAGGCGATTGGTGATTCTCTCTCATCATTGATGTTTCTATCTCTCCCTCTCCCTTCCTCTCTGAAATCAATAAAAAAAAATATTTATTATTATTAATAAAAAAATATTTTTTTAAACAATCAGCTCACCAGATCATCAGCTAATCAGGTGTCAGAAAGGCTGAAGGAGGAGGTCATGGAGGTTTGCAAAGAGAAGAGACGATATAAAACAGTCATCTAGGTGGTGGGAGAATGAACTTCAGGAAAACAGTGTGTGATGGATAGGCAGCACGAAGGGCCCCCTGGAGGTGGTGCCATACAGGTAAAGGGAGCATGGCCAGCGTGGTAGTGGGTTGAGGGGCCCAGATGCTGTGAGGTTATGAAGAGTAGGATTTCCAAGAGTCCACCATGTGCCCGTAGCACGTGCCTCACACATATTCATTCTCATGATATCGCTCCACAACAAGGTAGGTGTTATCATCTCCATTTTACAAATGAGGAAACCAAAACAGAGGCCAAGTGACTTGCCCAAGGTTAAACCACAGGAAGAAGCAAAACCTGAACTCAAGCCAGACTGTTGGACCTGGCACTACGCCACTGATACCTGCAAAATGTTTGTCTCAGCACTTGAGCGTGCCTTCCATGTTTACACCTCTCTCAGGACTTCTAAAAGAACCTTTTTTTTTTTTGCATGAAATGTCTAGATTATTAACGAATACTCCAATATAAATCTTTCAACGTGCTTCTCCCTTATAGAATTGCCAACCACACTGGAAATGATAACAGCTGCTTTCCTGTGGTTTATGCATCCAAAAGTCAATAAAAATAAAAACAGAGCCCACACTGAATTCCCTGGAGGAACAGAGCCAGGCTCTGAGTGCAGGTCTGTGGACCTGCAGGTCTGAACTGGGCAATGAATGGGGGCAAGACGTGAGCTTTACAACCAGGGATGGTCACTACGTCAAGGAATTATCGTTAAGCCTAAATAACAGACTTTTGGGTAAACTGAGTCAGAGAAGCTTATAGAAAAGTTGTTACCTAAATTCAGAGTATCCTTCCTATGAGGAATATGAAAGCCCTTATTGCTATTGTCTATAACACATAACACTGCTATTTTCTGAAGTTTTACGAGAACAAAACCAAAACACAATCCCACTCTCCCTGTGGAACCAACTGTTTCCCTGCCTCTGATGCATTTGGGTGGAGATCAGAAAGGGACTCAGACAAAAAAAAAAACAAAACAGCTTCCAGGAAACAGCTTTTTGTGGAGGTTACACCAGGGAGGCTGTCCTTTGAAGTGTCTCCTGGTTTTGTTGAGACGTTTTTCTACCTGAGCCAATGCATCATTCCCTAGAGAGAGAGAAACAAACTACTGCGTCCCTGTATATGTTAGGGTTTTTGGGGGGGTTTTTGTTGTCTTTTTTAATGTTAGTTTGTTTTAAACTCTGCTCCTTACCTGGATCCACCTCAGAAGAGGAAAGAACGGAAAGGCCTTCTGCAGAACTAGCAGCCTCGCTGTGGGCCTCCTGGCAGGGTTCCCGCAGCACGTAATCTCTTATGTCACAAGCCGACGGCAGCTCCAGAGAGTTGCTCTCCGCTGACTGGCTGTCTGGAGTGGCTTGCGGAGTTGCCATAGTCCTGCCACGGGAAAAATAAAACAATCAACACAAAAGGCCTTGCAAAGAGAAGCCTCCACTCAGACAGTCACGACTTGAAGGACTGAAGTCCCAGAATCGTAAAGGCCAAAGCGCAGTAGAACCAGGATAATCGGTCTTTACTTCCTTGTCTGTCCTTCAGACCCAGTATTTGTTTATCATATTTTCTTCCTCCTGAGAAACAAATGTTCTCATCATGAAAGAAACCATGAACAAGTCCAGCTGGAAAACAGCCCATGTGCCTGATGAGGATGAAATCATTCAAGGACTACAAGAATATTTAATGAGAAGGGAAATTGTTCATGAGCTATTCCATAAAAAATGGATTTTAAAACAATAGGATTTGATCCAGATTCTGTAAAATAAAATGTCATGTGTGAGATGCTTGCGTGTGAAATATATACACCTCTAGCTAGAAAAACCAAACCCTGAAGAATGTATCGCAAATCAATTTTACTGGTAGCTAATCCAGGGGTGTAATTTCCGGGTAGTGAGATTATAGGCGATTTGCATTTTCCTCTGTGGCCTACTCATACATGCATTTAGCCAATTATTTGACATGCCAGGCCAGGTGTCTTCAAGTTGCTCAGTTTGGGGTGATCCAAACACAGAAACATACCATGTCACACAATGACAAAACGGAGTGGAGCCTGGAAAGGGGTAGGAGGCTTACTGGAGGAGGCAATCCCTGTGCAGAAGGCAGGCCAGGCCATGGCCAGGGGACAGTATGAACACCAGAAGAACCAGCTTGGGCAACCACAGTGGCATGGGGTGTCAGGAGTTTAAAGTGAGAGTCAAGGAACAGTCATGCACTGTGTAACTGGAGAGACAAACCCTGTGGTCTTAGTTGGCACCCTCTCCTCTTCCTGTGCCAAGTCTGGGGAGGACAACAAGGCTGGCTGCTGTCAGCAACTTGGATATACAAAATCTTTTTTTAATATGTTTTTATTAATTTTTAAAATGTATTGTATTAATTTCAGAGAGAAAGGGAGAGGGAGAGAGAAATAGAAACATCAATGGTGAGACTCATCGATCAGCTGCCTTCCGCATACCCCCTGCTGTTCGTGCAAGAGGAGATCGAGCCCACAACCTGGGCATGTGCCCTGACTGGGAATCGAACCTGTGATCTCTTGGTGCATGGATCGATGTTCAACCACTGAGCCACCAGCCAGCGAGATATACAAACTCTTTAGCTGAGCTCTGGGGACTGTGAAAGTGGCTTATTAGGTTCAGTGTTTGGACATTTCTTGTTAAAAATGAGTTGTTCCTGCCCTGGCCAATGAGCTTGTGAACCACGGCAGGGCACTACCAGTCAGGAGCAGGGGCAGATTAAGAACATATTTAGGAAGAAAAATGAGAATAGAACTTAATAACTGAATGAATAAAGGAACTAAGGAGAAATAGAGAGCCAATGAGAATGGCACCTGGGTTGTATTATCAACTGAGGTAGAGAAGATAGAAGAAAGGGGTTTGGGAGGAGGCAGTATTCCAAGTTATGTAATATTATGCAACTATTAAAATGATAGTCAGAACTTGAAAGACCTCAAAGATGTATGTTTGAATGAAAGAAGCAATTTCAGAATAACATGGACAGTCTATAATAATAAAAGGGTAATATGCTAATTAGACCAGACGTCTTCCAGGCGTCATTCCAGATGTCTTTCCTGACAAAGCTGGGGCCAGAGGGAAGCCAGCCCAGGTCCTGGATGCCTGGAGGGAAGTCAGTGCCGGCAGCCAGGGGAAGGAAGGCCTACTCTTGCACAAATTTTCGTGCATTGGGGCTTTAGTATAATAATAATAAGAGTAGGTGCCCTGGCTGGTGTGGCTCAGTTGGTTGGGTGTCATCCTCTGCACCTAAAATTTGTGGGGTTCAATTCCCAGTCAGGACACATGCCTGGGTTGTGGGTTTGATCTCCGGTGGGGTGTGTGCAGGAGGCAGCCAATTAATGTCTTGCTCTCACATCAGTATTTCTCTCTCTCTCTCTTTCTCTCTCTCTCTCTCTCCCCCTTTCCCTTCCTCTCTCTCTAAAAGTCAATAAAAAATCTTAAAAAAAAATAAGAATACTTATCAAGTGTTCATTGCATGCCAGGTATTGTGCTGAGCTTTATCTGCAACCGCTCTATGAAACAGGTAATCCAATTATTACCCTAATTTACAGTCAGTCAGACCCAGACACAGAGATAAGTAGAGTAACTTGCCCAAGGAAACCCACCTAGAAAGTACCAAGCTAGGATGAACTCAGCACCAAGACCTCCCACTCTCCTCTGTCTGCACAGCCTCCATACTGTGACCTAAGCAGGCACAGATAGGAGAAGGTGGATGGAAACAAATCAACAGAGAGACCTGGCAAGACCCTTCTTGTTTGAAGACATCAAGTCACATGCTGTTGTGAACATTTGCTCTAGCAGAGTGAGCCAAGACATCAGCTGATTGCGTCTGAAAGGAGTGGAGTGATTAATGTGCCCAAAGAAGCAAGAACGTCCTGTCTTTTCACACATGCTACATTAGCCAATCAGGCCTGAAGTTTCAGCAAACACCTCTGCTGCAAGCTATCAGCGGCTCCTCCTTCTCTCCTCATGTTACCAAACACTGCTCTGGAATCTTCTGGAAGGGATCAAATAGGTAGGTCAATGAATGCCTGCCTGCAAAGGTGCCTTGAAATCAACCATCAACTGAAGGTGTTGTTATCGATGTAAAACAAAAGAAATCCTTTTCGAAAACAAATAGTACACTGATGTGACATCTACCTTTTCTTTTAGAATCACTTACATTAAACATCAAATACATTCCAAACTAGGCATGTGAACAAATAAGAATTTGTGCATGTAAAGCACAAAGCAAGTACTAGGTATAGAAGAGACGCTTCTCATTATAGTCTGAAACCACGTAGCTGGCAAGTAAAATACAATGATTATTTTTGGTCCCAAAATTTTTTTTTTTTTCTTTTTTTTTAAATATATTTTTTATTGATTAAGAAATTACATATGTGTCCTTGTCCCCACGTTACCCTCTACTCCCCCCCCCGCTCTTGCCCTCCCCCCCGTTGTCCGTGTCCATTGGTTAGGCCTATATGCCTGCATGTAAGTCCTTTGGTTGATCTTCCCCCCTTA